CAAATGCAGGATGTGAAAATGAGCGAAGTTCATCTGGTATAATAAAACAAAGAACTGCTCATGCTGGAGATCTGAAACAACAGCAATTCAGTAGATCTGGCAACATCTGTGGAATGCAACAGAGTCAACGCTTCAAGTCCAGTGACCCTTCTTCAGAACAGACTTGAAATGTTAATTTAGTTTTCTCTCCACAGATGTTATGAGAGCCGCTGAGTTTCTGCAGCAATTTCTGTTGTTTGGATAAATCTGGTAAATTTATTTGTGGTGCTGGGAAGAAGACAATGTGACCATGAAAGCGTGGAATGTCATAAAAACAGAATTGGTTCAGTAATGGCTTTCAGGCAAGGGAACCTACCACCTAGTCTGGGCCTACACAAGACTCCGGTCTCTACTGAGGAACAGAGAAAGATGGAGCAGTGGGAAAGGAGATGGGCTTCATCTCTCTTCAATTTGACCAGAATATTGACAGAACCTTCCAAACTTACCAACTAGAAGGACAAAAGAAGCTGTTCATGGAAAAACCATCACTTTCAAACTGAGAGCAAGAGATTCAGGCTGGAGAGAGAGCACTCACCCCTCCATGTACGAGAAGGCATTTCAAATCAATCATTCAACCTGCTGAAAAACCAGCAAGATCAGAATTTGCTGCAGGAGTTGGATTTTGCTATTAATCACATCCAGGACTGAATCATTCCTACACTTTGGATTTATGTTGGCCTTCAGCTGGAATAGGATGTAATATTTTAGCAATTAGTTTGCTGTACTTGATAACCTGCCCTGCAAGTAAAACATTCTTCAAACTGATTGATTAGGCTGTGCTGGTGTTTCGACACTAACCCACGACCACTTCCATTTAGAACGTCAAGGGCAGCAGATACATGGGAACACAACCACCTGCAAGTTTACCTGCAAGACACTCACTACTCTGACTTGGAAATATATTGTAATTCCTTCACTCTCACTGGGTCAAAATCCTAGAAATCCTTTCTTGACGGCATGATGAATCCACTTGCAGTACCTGGACTGCAGCAGTTCTTGAAGGCGCCTTCGTTGGGTTCTGGATAGTGTAGAAGGTTGTCAAAGGATACAGCAGGATATAGATCACTTGCAGATATGGGTGGAGAAATGGCAAATGGAGTTTAATCTGGGTAGGTGTGAGGTGCTGCACTTTGGGAGATCAAATGTTAAGGAAAAGTTAATGGCAGGACCCTGAACAGAATTGATGTACAGAAGGATCTTGGGGTTGAAGTCCAAAGTTCCCTGAAAATGGCCACGCAAGTAGATAAGGTGGTTAGGAAGGTATATTATTGCCTTAATCGGCCACGGAATCGAGTACAAGAGTCAGGATGTCACGTTGCAGCTTTGTAATACTGTGGTTAGGCCCCACTTAGAGTGCTGCGTTCAGCTGTGGTCACCACATTACAGGAAGGATGTGGAGGCTTTGGAGGGAGTGCAGAAGAGGTATACTAGGACAATGCCTGGATTGGAGCCGAGGGCTCAATTTCTGCCCAACCACCAAAATGGACCCCATTAGTCTCGCGACACACACAGGAATTCAAACCAATGAGACTATGAGAATTCTTCCAAACTGTCAGCAGCTCTCTCCCTCACACACACATTTCCCCTCCGCACGTGCACAGACACACACACACACACACTCTCTCTCTCTCTCCCCCCCATCAACTGCACGTGCGTGTTCTTTCCTACCCCCTCACCTGCGCACGCACAGGCTCTCTCCCCCCATGCGCGCAGGAACTCTCTCCACTCTCACCTGCGTGTACGTGTACACACTCACACGAGCATACACACTCTCTTTCCCCTCACCTGCACACACATTCGGTCTCTCTCTCCATCTCTCTCTCACACGCACATACATTCTCTCCCGTGCTCGCGCGCGCACACACACACGCGCTCTGTCTCTCCCTCACACATACACACGCGCCCGCACACAAATCTATGGGGTGAATTTGCATTTGCAGATACATTCTATTTTGTATAAAGAGCACACAGTTTGTAAACAGTCAATGTAACATTTTAAAAACTCCTATTTTGGAAATAAAACCCGTCTGACTCCAAGTTAAAACACGGACTGATTCTAAACAAAGCCCCACACCTAAAATGCATTGCCTGACCTCAGATGACACCTTTGCTATAATGGAAAACCTGAAGTTATCTCAGGGCAGTGACTTGAAAGAAATTCTGGGATTTACATTTTAATCAATCAAAACCCCCATTTCCTTCCTAACTGATTAAAGATTTAACAGACATCTTAAGTTTGTTCAATACAATGGCATCAGTTCTATAACCCTTTGATCTTTACTTATAAATTCTGTGTCTGATGCCACCTATCTCACTATCTCCTGAAGAAGGAGCAAGAGTCCGAAAACTTCTGTTGTCTCATAAACTTGTTGGACTATAACCCAGTGTCGTCTGATTTTTGACCTTGTCCACCCAAGTTCAACACTTGCACCTCCACATCATGGATTGGAGGGTATAAGCTATGAGGAGAGGCCAGAAGATCTCAGGTTGTTTTCTCTAAAGCAGTGGAGGCCGAGAGGAGACTTGATACAAGTCTTAAATTATGGGATGCATAGATAGGCTTGATGGTCAGAATCTTTTTCCCAGAGTTGAAATGTCTAATACAAGTGGGCATGCACTAAGGTGTGAGGGGTAAACTTCAAAGGAAGCATGAAGGGAAGTTTTTTTTTAAAACAGAGTGGTAGGAGTCTGGAATGCACTGGCAAGGATGGTGGTGGAGGCAGATATGATAGGGGCATTTAAAGGGACTTTTAGATAAGCACATGAATAAGCAAGGAATCAAGGGATATGGACCAAGGGCAGGCAGAAGGGGTTTGTTTCATTTGTTGTCATTGTCGGCACTACATTATGGATCAAAGAGCCTGTTCTTGTGCTGCACAGTTCCATGTTAAACCACTTTTTCAAATGCAATGGGGATGGGCTATAAATGCTGACCCTGCCAGCAATGCCAATATCCTGCCTGAATTTAAAAAAAATTACTTTCTGCATTTTAACTACTATTTTCACTGCTTACTCCCCACTGGCAACAGTAAGCAGAGATTTTGTGATTACTCTGTGGAATGATATCCATTCAGCTTGCAAGTTGGACCCTGTACTTCTTGTCACTTGTAATTTTAACATTCCACATCACTTCCACTCTGACAACACTGTCCTGAGACTCCTGCACTGCTCCAAAGAAGCTCAGCAGGAGTTTGAGGTATAGCAGCTCATCTTTCAACACCAAAAATGAGTTGTCAGGATCTGGAACACTCGTCTTAGAAGATGCTGGACCCTGCTGCAATGTTTAGATGGTGTCTGCTTGACCTCAATTCCCAACCCACTGGAAATAGTTCCTAGCTAACTCATCAGCAGTCACAATTCACATTTGAAAAAAGAACTTCGATCAAAATCACACCTTAGTCTTTGAATTCCAGCAAATGCTTCCCTCATTGTGAGGTGATGTATTTTAGCAGATGGGATAGGAAGATATTCATTAGTCTGCAGAGAAATTGCATCTTGAGCTTCATGAATACTGTTATTGAAGACAGAAGGAGGCAAGTAATGTTGAGAATATTGAGCCACAACTTGAGTTTTGTGTCTACTTCTGGTCATCTAATTCTAAAAAGGGTGTGAGTGTCTTTGACAGCATATGGAGGAACTTTTTCAGAATGGATTTCAAAAGATTAAAAAGATCAGAAAAACAGAAGAATCACAAAAGGATTAAACAAATTATGGAAAGACAATCTGTTCACCTTAACTGCCTGCACGCAGACGTGGGACAGATGAAAAAGTTCTGAATAAGAGACAGAGGGGGCTGTGATTAGAACATTTCACAGATCAAATAGTGATGTCCTACAAGCTCTGATGGGAGTGAAAGTGGACGTTAAATTTCATTTTGAAATAAACAATCAGCATTGAGAAAATAACATGCAAGTTACAGGAATAGAACAGGGGAACGAATGTGACTGGATTGAAGTAGAGAGCTCACCTGGTCTCAGAGTTGAATGGCTCCCTCTCTTGCATTGTGACTCTTCTGTGTGATCTTGTTTTGTAAGCTAAACATTGTAATTCAATTAAAACTCAGTAAAATTTGTGCTATACACATTCCAAACGCATCGCATTATTCCTAAGGTTTGTGGCTCAGAACTGAATACAGTTTTGGGAGGTGTTCTGACCGCTGATAGATATTTTCTCCCACAGACAGAACAAAGTTGTTCCCTTCTATGTTCATCACTTGCTGATTACATTCAGGTCCTAATGAATCAAGTGACTCTCTCAGATCTTGATGCAATATTTCCTTTGAGCTTCTGGTCTGTTAATCCTCCGAATTTACTGCCATATACATTTCAAAAGTCCGTCACTATCAGTCCAGGATAGAACTTGGCAAGAGACAAACGATTTCTCTTGGATTCAGTTTCCTGGTGTAAATCGTGCCCCTCTGGGAAAGGCGCGTATGCCTTTCTGCACATTGACCCCTAAAAGCATGGCCGGCGCGCATCCGTCTCGCGGAACATTGCTCCCAATAAAGATGGCGGCGGTAACGTTGGCCTGTCACTGCCTGAGGCCTGCTGTCATTTTCCCGTTTGCAATAAACGCGGGATCGGGATATTCTAATTCAGGTCTGCGGCCTCCACCGGGTGGTTACGAATCCTCCCAGTTCACACTGTCTCTATTTTCACTCCCGCACGAACAGAACTTGAACTGAGGAAGTCTTACCAGACTGAGTTTCTCAAGCATTCCCTCTGCTCCTTTCGGATATCCAGCATCTCCGGTGCCCTCGCTTTCCGTCTGAAGGAGAAATTCCAGCCGGTTTGCTACAAAAGCAGTCCGTGTTATGGTCTTGGAGGGGGCGGTGGGGGGTGCCGTTGTGCGAGGTCAGTGTCCCTGAACAACTGCCTCAGTCCAATCGTCAGTGCACACGGCCTTTCCTCGCGCCGTTCTTGGATCGGCCTTCGCCCGGCACTGCGCATGCTCCACAACTATTCCGTAGAACGCACGGGAGCTGGCCGCGGCGTCGGGTGCCGTCTGTGAAGAGATGAGCGATGACTGCTTCAGAGCATCTAGCTCTGATGAGGAGTCACCTGGGCTCTCCCCTCTTTCAAACGACGGTGCCTGACCCGCTGTGATTTCCAGCATTTGTTATTTTCAGCACAGATTCCAGCACCTGCAGTAATTTGCTTCGACACAGGGTACCTGCTGATTCGCTAGCGGTGCCGGGTAAGGACCTTAGTATTTGAAAGATGTTGTAGCTGAATGCAACATTACGTCTCTCACCGCGCCCCCACCCCCGGCCTCCCGAACTATTGAAGACGTATGACCAATATGACCTGTGCTGTCTGCGGGTCATTAAAATATTTTAGGAAGGAAATCCTTAACACTAACCCCCTGTTGAATTTCACTGCAAATCGACCTCCAGCCCAAGGCAGATGATCATGACTAAAACAAACACTAGGATTGCTGGAGAAACCCAGCAGATTTTCCAGCATTCTTTATGGAGGCAAAAAAAGTTAACATTTCAAGTCTGCTATTACTTTTCTGCTGACCAGACTCAAAATGCCAACTCTGTTTCTCTCTCCACAAATGCTGCCAGACTTGCTGAGTTCTTCCAGCATCCGCAGTATTTTTCCTTTCTGCAAATGTTAATAACTATTGTGGCTCCTGTCACTGAAGCAATTTTGTATCAATGTTGCTACTCTCTTCTTTCTGCTCTTCCTCACAAAACCAATATGGCATATTTTATCAAAAACCTTTTACCAATCCATGTTCTTTGCAGCAATTGTATTATCTTAATGAACCCCCTCTAGTATTTGTCCAGGTGGCTGTTAATTTTGTCCAAATAAGGTTACAGCTGTAATTATGTACTACTTTAGTTTGCATATAGACTGCGCAAATCAAATCAATAACTATGCCGTTGAGGAGCAATTTCTGAATTGTGTACAAGATGCTTGTCTGAGATTAATAGCTTGAGGAACCAACTACAGGACAGGCCCTGCTAGACTCTGTATTGTGTAACAGCAAAGGAATAATTGGCAATGTAGCTTCCTTTAGGGAAGGAAATCTGTCATCCTATCAGGTTTGGTATACATGTGACTCAAGATCCACAGCAATGTGGTTGACTCTTACCTGCACTTGGACAATTAGCAATGTGCAATAAATGCTGGACTAGCCAGCAATGCCCACATCCTGTGAATTAATAACAAACTTTTACCAGACTGATTCCTGGGATGGAAAGCCTGTTGTTTGAAAAGGGACTGGACTGGACTGGTTAGGACTGCATTTGCTGGAGTTCAGAAGAATAAGGAAGGGTCTGACAGAAATCTGTAAAGTTCTCTTGGGACTAGAACAGGTTGAATGCCATGAAGATGTTCCTGATGACCAGGAATCCAGAACTAGGTGTCACATCCGAGGGCATGTTGTAGGACATTTAGGATGAGATGAGGAGAATTTGAGGAGTTTTCAGTGAACTATCCATTGTTTTGTTCTCCCATGTAACCCTCACTGTGACTATTTTACTGTGTTGGAAGACAGTTACAGAAATAGAAGTTGGAAAAACTCAGCAGGTCTGGCAGCATCTGTGAAGAAAATATCAGAGTTAACATTTTGGGGTCCAGTGACCCTCAGAACAGTAAAATAGTTATTGAGTGGCATACCTCTGCAGCTTTCCTAGCTGGCTGCCCAGCACCTTTCCTCTGTCTGGTGGTCACTCATTTCTTCTGCCTACAGCTCCTTATTCTGTGATGTGGATGTCGTAGAAAACATGCTATCTGCTGAGCCCCCAGCCTCAGGAATGCATTTCTGTGCCTCCTGCTGACTCTCAAGATTCAAGACCCGCCACTCAAGATGTTTGAGCTGGCTGTATTTCCTAAAGATGTGGTCAGCTGGACTGCCAGAGCGGTCTCGGATTTCATCCAGGCTGCAGACAGTAAAAACACCAGCTTGGACTCCCTTGTCATTTTCAGTTAAATTTAAAGAACCTTTCATTTAAGACGTTTTTAAAGTTCTCTCATGGGACGTGGGCTTTGCTGCCCGGCCAGCATTTATTGCCCATCCTGATAAGGTGAGCTGACGTCTTGAACCACTGCAGTCCAGAAGTAGACCCACAATGTCAACAGAGGGGAACCTCTGGAATTTTGATCCGACAACAGTGAAGGAACAGTAATATATTTCCAAGTCAGAATTGTGAGTGGCTTGGAGAGGAAATTACAGGGTCTTCCTACGTATCTGCTGCCGTTGTCCTTCCAGATGGAAATGATCGAACGATTCGAAGATGCTGTCTAAGGATCAGTGGTAAATTTATACAGTGCATTTTATATATCATTCACAATTGTTACTAAGCATCCAAAGTGGAGGCGATAGATGCTTGTGGATATGGTGCCAATCAAGTGGGCTGCTTTGGCCTGGATGGTGTCAAGCTCCTTGAGTGTTGTTGGAACTTCACCATCTAGGCATGTGGTGAGTATTCCATCACACTCCTGCCTTCTGCCTTGCAGAATGTGAACAGTATTCTGAGTATCGCTGCACAATTCCTAGGGTCTGACCTGCTCTTGTAGCTCCTGTATTTATATGGCAAGTACAGTTGAATTTCTGATCAATAGTAACCTTCAGGATATTAACAGTAGGGAATTCAGTGATGGTAATAATATTCAATGTCAAAGGGTGGTGGTTAGATTGTTTCTTGTTGAAGATTTTCATTGTCTGATATTTATGCAGCACAAATGTTACTTTGCCACTTGGTAGCCAGAGGCTGCAGAGACATAGAGATGGGTACAAGCTGCTGACATCTCTGCCTGGGGAGATGTTGGCCTGAGGCGACAGAAAGATAGAGAGAGAGGGGGGTACCAGTTACTGACATCACCAACAAGAGGTACTGAATACAAAGGTGCTGACACGAAGAAAGAAGCAGCTTGTGAACTAAAAATGACTTGAGCCCAGGTACTAGTTTGAGCCAATTAAAACCGGTTTGAATCAACTAAATTTTTTGCAAAAAATAAAGAAGTAGAAGAAATGCAAAAACCTTATTTGGACAAGAAGTACTGAGGTTATGCTACCTAAGTCTCTGGCCAAGTCCAGGACCGTTAAGGTACAGACATGCAATAAGTGAATTAGCTTGAGCCGTTGGGAAGGAGACAGCACGTCTTGAGAGAGACAAGAGAAAGAATAAAAAGAAGATCCTCAGGGCATGCAGCCAGCAAATACTCTGGAGACTAATCATCGTGGAAGCAGACCCTACGTCAAGGAAGTGCTGATGACGCTGTGAGACAGAGAGAGTGTGTGCAATGCCTGTCCAGCATCAGCCCTCATTAGCAGCAGCAGCTATCCTGAATCGGTATTAGCTTTTATGTTCTGTGACTACTTGAAGAGTGTCAGAGGACCCTAGTGGGTGTATAAATAGGTTCTAGTTCAGTTTGTGGGAAAATATTTAAGGTCTAGTTTGTAATAAAACATAGAAGCAACGGGTGTCTTGTTTAACACATTAATAAAGTAATTTGTGAAATTACAAGAATTGACTCCTCTTATACACGCCAGCAGCCACAGCCAGTGATTGCTGGACTCAAACAGGCTGTAGCAGATTTTGGCATTCCTGCACTGTGGGCTTGAGCATAAATCTCTCTCCAGTGAGTCAGTCAGGGACTTCAGTCAGCTCGAACTGGAGCCTTAGGTTAGAGGATGATCTTTCTGCTGAGTCAGCGGGAGGCTCAGTTCGAACTGGAGCAGCCATGTATAGAGAGAACAGGAGCTTGGTCTTTGAGGGAACATCTCTCCCCGAGTTAGCCGAAGACCCGAGTTGGACCAGACGAGAGCCTGGGTTTAATCTGTAACTGTTAGTATATGACGAATCAAGAGGCAATGGACTGTCCTGATTGGACGGGAGTCCTCAAGAAATACATAATAGGGAGGTGGCTGCAATACGGGGAATTTGCAGGTCACACTAGGAATACGGGAAATTCCGCTGGAGAAGCTGTTTGGCAGGTTGTCCAATGAAGATGTCAGACAAGAAGTTTAAAACAGTGCAGAAAGTGGTAACAATTAGCTGTTTAATGCAGGAATGGATAGAATGCTGACAGCAAGTCAAGTTAGAGAAGGTACAGAGGGAAAGACTAGAAGAGTGAAAAGGTAACTGATCTGCAAGGACAGAGGAGTGCGAACTTGATACAAATGCATCAGAACCAGATGCAGTGTGAGAAACTGGTTTGGGAAAGGAGTCGGCGAGAGGGAGAAGCCCAAACAGCTAAAGCTGAGGTGGAGAGATGGAAGCAATAATGTAGTGATTTAAAAACTGCAATGAATGTGATTCAGAGAGCAGCTCAGGAGAAAAAGAGTAGTGCTGCTGATCACACAAAATGTCAGAAACGGGCTGCAGGGTCAACTAGGTGTGCAAAATATGCACTTTTACACCTGAAACAGGTGAGGAAGGGGACATAGATAGGGTCGATTTAGCAGATGAAGCAGCTACATACGGTTTTTTTCTTTATTCATTCACAGGATGAGGGCATCACTGGCCAGGCAGCATTTATTGCCCAGAGGGCAGTTAAGAGTCAATCACAATGCTGTGGGTCTGGAGTCACATATAGGCCAGACCAGGTAAGGATGGCAGTTTCCTTCCCTAAAGGACATTACTGAACCAGATGGGTTTTTCCGACAATCAGCAATGGTTTCATGGTCATCATTAGACTCTTAATTCCAGATATTTTATCGAATTCAAATTCCATCATCTGCCATGGCGGGATTCGAAACAGGTCCCCAGGATGTTACCTGGGTCTCTGATTAACAGTCCAGCGATAATATCAGTACACCAATGCCTCCCCTAGACCATAATACCCCTACACCATTGCTCTATGATGACGGGGAGACTCCACCAGGGGATCCACCGCCAGCTTATGACCCAGGGTCATGACCCATGCGAAAGATATTGGGATGTGCACGCCCAGGGATGATCCTAGGGAGCTGTTCCAAGCAGTCATTCGTCAGAGAGAAATACATGGTTTAGATGATGCTGAGGAAAGGAAATTAATTATAATGTGCATACGACCACATTCATACTTGCCCTGCCAGAGGACCAGAAGCTGAGTAGATGCACAAATGAGACATTAAAAGACCAAGTGTTAAATATCATGGGTGCTAACAGAGCGGACCTAGTGGAGGAGCTGACAAGTGCTATCAAAGGAAAGGTGAACACCCCACCTTGTTTGCGGCAGACCTTTCGGCAGTGTTCCAAGGGATATATGGCTTGACCTTAGATAGGAATGATGTGCAGCCAGCAGTTAGAAACTGATGGCTAAGAGTGCTGGTGTTGCAATGCACTTAGGAGTCAAGGAGGGCATTAGAGCAGTTTGATCCCACTGATGAACATGGACACAGAGGCCTCAGTAATCAGCAAGATGGTTAGAGCATGGGAAAGGAAACAACAACATTTCCCAAGATCTCTGGGGTAAGGATGACACCTGTTAAAGATCAGGCAACGACCTGCAGAAATGAAGGGAGAAGACCCATTCAGAGGGTACCCCCTCGAGCGTATCTGACAGTGGGAAGAGATAGAGGAACTGTCTCAGGAACAGGAAAGACTCAAAGCTGGGCGCCCAAGTATTATAACTGTGGCCAGGAAGGACATTTTGCAAGAGAATGCAGGTGGGGGAGGAAGCAAAAGCCTGCCCATGGAGGAGTTGAATAGACACAATCCATAGTGCGATGTGACAGAGGTATTACCGTCTTCGGGGATGTACCCTGAACTTCAGTGACAGTCACAGACCTCTCCATTATGGGTATGTGATGCGCGGTGGCATAAAGTGGGTGACCCCTAGTGAATGCTAGGGTCAGAGGCCGCTCTGTTACATTCCTTTGGGACATTGGGGGATCCCAAATTACAGTCAATACTACTCGTGTCAATGACGCAAATTGGAAAATTCAAAGTAAAATTATTTTAAGTAGATTCAGGGGGACATAGTCAAGTGGGACATGCGAGCGTATCGTTGGAGGTTAATGTGGGAGACGTAGTATTAGAGCATTCAGTTGTCCTTATTAAACTACCTAGAGAACAAGAACATATCTTAGGGAATGACTACATGGGCAAAACAGGACTCTGCTTTGAACTCATTTATTGCATGATTTGGCAAATGCCTGTGGGTATGAGGAGTGCAAATCGCACACTTATCTCAGTGGGGGAGTATCAGGACAGGATTTGCACAGTTGGGGAAATGTGGTTAAAGCCAGGGGAGATGAGTGACAATCATGAAGTGCAACGACTCATTGTAGCAGTATTTGCCCGATGCAAACATGACTGTGGGAAAATGACGGGGAGTGTACATATACAGGGTCCAGACCCCAAACCACAGAGGCAGTATGGTTTTCCAAAGCAGGCAGAAGAAGAGGTAGGGAAGGAAATACAGAGGCTGTTGCAGCAAGGGATACTGAGACCGGTAGTTACCCAGAACCATGAGTGCACAGGCAGCAGAGTTAGCAGCCATTGCATATGTGGTTGGCCACCTGGTTCAGTTATATACTCTGACAGCATGTATGTTTGTAAAAGTCTCATGGAATATTTGCTTCAATGGAAGGTGAGAGGATTTGTCTCAGTGGATGGAAAGCCCCTTCCATCAGCTCAACTGTTATGATACATCTTTGAAGAAGCATAGGGAAAGGATATGGGGTCACAAAGGTAAAAGCTCATTCAAAACTATCTCCCAAGGGGAACAAGAAGGCTGATGAGTTAGCTAAACAAGACGCTTTAAAAGGGCAGGAAGAAATCAGGGGCCAGAAAGAGAAACAAGTTGAGCTTATGGATTTAGCACAAGAGCAAAAGAAAGTCAGAGAATTGATTTTAAAAAAAAAACAAATAGAAGGAGCAAAATCAGACACATATAAAGCAAGGGGATCTGTGTTCAGGACAAAGTAGTTTTATATGAAGGAAAATCTGTGGTGTCAAGAGAGGGGACAAAATCAAGGAAATCACTGGTACCATGATTTATGGGGGTATAAGGGGGCAGAGAATACCCTGGATAAGGTAAAGGAAATGCGCTAGTGGCCCGGAATGAAAGGTGATGTGGAACACTATGTTAAGAATTGTTCGATCTGTGCACAGCGTAACCCCAATAGGAACGTTAAGAAAGGGGTCCTCGGAAATACTAGACCAGTAGAAGCACCATGGACTAATTTACAAATAGACTTCATAGGACCCCTAGCCCCACTCCAGGAGGATACAAGTACTTCTTATGATAGCAGACACCTTTGCTAAATAGGTGGAAGCTTTCCCGACCACAACAAACACAGCCAGAAATACTGCAAAAATTTTGTTGGAACGGGTGTTCACTCATTGGGGTATGCCCCGAAGCATAGTATCAGATCAGGGAACACATTTTATAGCCTAACGTAATGCAAAATGATCCCTTTTTGGGATCAGACCGAGATTCCACATACCCTATAGACTGCACTCTAGTGGAATTGTGAAAAGAATGAATCGGACGTTGAAAAACTTGAGAGCCAAAATGGTACAGCAGCATCAGACAACCTGGCACGTTGTTCTGCATTGTGTGTTAATGATACTTAGGAACACCGCAGCTTCATCAACAGGCAACACTCCTTATAAGCTCATGACTGGAAGGGACATGGGAGGAATGAAGGGGTGGTAGGTTTGGACTTGTCTGAGCCTGAAGTAGACAATATCATATCGGAACAATGATACAATAGATAGTAGAAACAGTAAAAGAAACAAATTATATAGCAGCCCAGCAACAAGGGAAGGAGAAACAGGCTTATTTTGATGCAAAAGCCAGCCTAATAGAGTTGGGTCCGACAAGGGGTAATGATTAGAATACTCCAGCCCACCTCATTCTTGAGCCCAAAGTTTGCCGGTCCTTATGCAGTGGTAGATAGAGATAGCCCATTTGTATAAAAGGTATTGACAGCACCAGATAAGAGTGGCTGGTATCACATTAATCAGTTAATGTTAGTGGGAGGGAAACGGGGCAAACACCATTGGCATGCTAACGATGCTCTGTGTTCCCAAAGTCAGGGAAATCAAGAGCAGGATCAGCTGCAAATATCCGAGGAGATAACTGAAAGACCACCTGATATTGGCTGTTCATGTACAGAGGGTGACCAGGGAAAACAACAAAAGAAAAAGAAAAGGCATAGAGGAAGCAAATGGGCCAAACAAACTGGACGGTTAGAATCTGGAGCAGATGGGTACAGGGGATAGATGATTTGCTTCAGCGTTTGGAGAACCTAGACTTAAAACAATGCAGAAACAAGACTGTAAATAACAGCAGGAATTACCCTTGTATGTTACAGATCCAGCCTAGAATGAGGGAGTAATGCATTTTGTTGCTAGTGGATTGACCATGTTTTGGACTGCAGTTGAACTGGCTTCAGAGCCATCATGACAGGCAAATGCTGCTCGAACAACATCAGCGCTGGAAGAACCCCCTGTGACCAAAAATCGCTGAGAAACAGAACCGGAAGTGGTACCAAACACCCCAACAAACTAAGGCATATAAATAACAAGTGGGACAGAACATCAATGCTTTACCGATGCGCACTGATGATATTGCCTAGCAGGATGATGACCAAACCCGCAGGCTTGGCGAACATGTCTACAACCTCAAAATCACTCTGCTCTGCAGCGCAAGATAACACAAATAAAGGAAATACAGAGGACTTGAATTCGTATTATATGGGAGTGGATGGGTTGACATTCACGGGAAAGACATTGGGTATACTGGAAGGAACGGTGGACGCAGTTTTCATGTAACAGAGTTCTGGAGGTGACATTGGTGGTAATCCCAGGAGGGCAAATCACTAGTCAATTTATAGGTCCATTTATTGAGCAACCATCGGGAAATGACAGTTGAAATAAAATTATGGTTCATTGCGATTGCACTTATGTGAACACAGACTGGGAGAGTGATGCATACAAGAGGTACATTGACTGGGGTGGCTATTCCAGGCAATTCAGGAAAATTGGTTGGATAATCATTAATTGTACAAAGGTTGATACTGCACAGGAAGGGGATAGAGGAAAAAGGGCATTGAGAAATGCAGACAGGGATTTTTGTTGGGGGCTGGGACCCTTCATAATTTTCAGGATCCGTAAGAAGCTTATTACCCTACGTCCCCCAGTGATAAAAACCACACCAGAACTTAGGTGTAGCAAATCTCAGTGTAAAATGAAAGGTGTAGGCCTAGTGCTAGAATAGACCGGAGAATCCGTCCTTTTGGTACTGAGATATCGGCATATGCAGGTAGTTTTCAACCTAATTGAAATGACTACTCCAGAATGGTGTTCATCCATGACGAAACAATTATCTATGCACCCACTGGTTCAACAGTTAAGCAGGAATGAGTTTAAGTCTGGTAGGAATAGAAAGAAAAGATGGCTACTGGAGCTAGTAGAGGCCGGATATGCATCAGGAGTAGCAACACTCAACACTTTGGATGTAGCAGAGTTAGAAAGTCTCTCCAGCAGAAAATGCAGGTCATTACCGGGGAAGGTTACTTAGGTCAGATATGGACCAACCAAATAGGCCAGGATGTGTCACAAGTGATCCTGGATACAGTTTAATTTCTCAAACCTCTGCAGAATACGACAAATTTAATCATTAATCGTATAGCCAATACTTCTGAGGAGGCCCATAAGGCCGATGTGTGTGCCACTAGCTGGGTGTTGACTAGGATCAGGACTAATTTGTTACAGCTGCATGCTCACCAACTTCCAGACTGGGTGTAGGATGAACAATTAATATAGTGGTTGGAGAAAAGGAACCCCTATGTCACCCCAGAAGTTTGACCTTAACTAATACGGTGTTAGTTGTGACAATGATGAAGGGAAATATTATGTTGGAACAGTGTTTCATATTCCCCAACATGGAAATAATCTGAAGTACCCTTGAAAATACTATGAAAGTACTTGGATATCTTTAAGTAAACAACCGTCTCGTGCTATTGTAATGGATTATGCTGAGAAAGGGGTGGATTTGTTAAAAAATCTCTAAGGGGAGATCACTTGGCGTGTCCTGACGAGATAACGAGACAGAGACTCACAGATTGCAGTTTCAACATCTATGAAAATTGTTCATCGTCCATTCTACCTGTGAATAACCAGTCCTTTTTACAATATGCCCTTGTGGGGCAAACGTATTACAGCAGCTATGAATTATAACAAGGGATGGAGATTGCGTCCTTCCAAAGGGCACTATGTAGCTATTAACAATGTGACCTCTGATTTGATGATTAGTGGACAGGCGCTGTCCCAGCCAATAACCAGGGGAGTGATGTGAGAAAGCCTAAAGATCCAACGTATTGATACAGACCAAGACGTACAGAGGTTTGTTCTAACTGAACTACCACCCATCCCGCACCTGACAGCAGATTGGACATGTATAGTGGGAGAGGCAAAAGAAATAATTCATTAATGGACCATATACACTAAAATAATTAGAACTCTTGCTGAAAAAGCAAAGGAGTTTTGCGGTACCCCGAGTTGTGGGATAAGTTCTGGAATCGGGGATCAAGTGTTCAGATACATCCATGGATCAGAATTCTGTCACATGTGGCTGCAGTAGTGATTTTAGGTGCATTAGTGGTCATCATATTTAATATATGCCAGCTGAGAAGGTGGGACAATGGAATTGTACGAAAATTGGAGGTTGACGCTATAATGAAACAGAAGAAGCATTCTGAAAACGCTGTGTCAATTAAGTTATATCCTTTATTTATGTTTGTTATTTCCTGTATACTTTATATACTTTTTTAACGTATTTGCATCTCTATTTTATAATGGTGGAACAATGGACGTGGGCTACACCCACTGGGGAACACTGACAATCCTAAGAGTGATCCATAGAAAAGGGACAGAGAATGATCCTAATATAACTATCTTTGGATTAAGTGGGAGCAGATGCTAACCAGAGGCTGCAGAGAGAGGGAGAGGGCTACCAGCTGCCGACGTCACCAACAGGAGGTACTGAATGTAAAGGTGCTGACATGAAGAAAGAAGCAGCTTGTGAATTAAAAATGACCTGAGCCCAGGTACTAGTTTTAGCCAATTTAAACTGGTTTGAATTAACTAAGTTCTGCAAAAAATAAAGAAGTAAAAGTAATGCAAAAGCCTTATTTGGACAAGAAATGATGAGGTTATTGCTACCAAATCTCTGGACTAGGGTCAATAGGTAAAGGCATTCAGTAATTTAATTAGCCTGAGCCAACGGGAAGGAGACAGCATGACTTGAGAGAGATAAGAGAATGAATAAAAAGAATACCCTTGGGGCATGCAGCCAGCGAATACTGTGGAGACTAATCATCGCGGAAGCAGACCCTATGTCAAGGATGTGGTGATAGCACTGAGAGTAAGAGAGAGAGAGATAAAAAGAGAGACAGTGTGTGCCTGGCCAATGTCAGCCCTCGTTAGCAGCAGCAGCTATCCTGAATGGGTATTAGCTTGTATATTCTGTGACTACTTGGGAAGTGTCAGAGAACCCGAGTGGGTATATAAATATGTTCTAGTTCAGTTTGTGGGAAAATACATAAGGTCTAGTTTGTTATAAAACATATAAGCAACACATGTCTTGTTTAACACATTAATAAAGTAAATTATGAAGTTACGAGAATTGACTCTTCTCCTGTCTGTACATGCTGCAGCTAGCAATTGCCGGATTCAAACAGACTCTAACACACTTGTCAAACCCAAGTCTGGATGCTGGCTGGGTCTTGTTGTATTTGAATATGGACTTCTTCATTATGTGAGGTGTCACAAAATGGTGCTGAACATTGATGATTGCACAATGAACATCCCCACTTCTGACCTTTTGATGATGAAGGTCATCAATGAGGCAATTGGGATTAGGACAGTATCCTGTGGAATTCCCACAGAGATGTCCTGGAGGTGAGATGTCTGACCTTCAACAATCACAGCCATTTTCCTATGTGCCAAATATGACTCCAACCAGTGGAGAGTTTGCCCCGATCCCCATTGATTCCGGTTTTGTTTGGGATGCTTGCTGCCATATTTGGTCAATTGCGGCCTGAAATCAAGAGCTGTCACTCTCACCTCTGGAATTCAGCTCTTTTGTCCACGTAAGAGCCAAGGCTGCAGTGAGTTCAGGGGCTAAATGGCCCTGGTGGAACCCAAACTGTTGTTGCTAGGCAGATACTGCTTAATAGTTGTGTTCATGGCATCTTCCATCAATTTACTGATGACTGACAATAGACTGCTGGTGTGAAAATTAGTTTTGTTGGACTTATTCTGCTTTTTTTGTGTACAGGAAATATCTGGGCAAATTTCCACATCGGAGTAGATGCCGTTGTTGTAGCTGTAGTGAACAGCTTGGCTTGGGGAATGGCAAGTTCTGGAGCACAGGCCTGAACAGAACATTGTCAGGGTCCATTGACTTTACAGTTTCCAGTGCCCCAGCCATTTCTTGATACCACGTGGAGTGAATTGAATTAGTTGAAGATTGGCATCACTGATGATGGGGACCACTGGAGGAGGCTGGGTTGGATCATCCACTCGGCATTTCTGGCTGAAGATTGTTGCAAATTCATACATTTTGGACGGATGTGCTATGGTCTTCCATCGTTCAGGATGGGAATATTTGTGGAGCTTCCTCCTCCAGTGTGTTGTTTAATTGTCTCCCAACATTCATGACTGGATGTGGCAGGAATGTAGAGCTTAGATCTAATCTTGTGGGATGGCTTAGCTTTGTCTACCACTTGTTGCTTATGCTGTTTGACACTTTGAACTCTTACCCTGTAAACTCTGTATGCAAAAAGCTTATTGTAGTTCAATGAGCACTGAGAGAGCTAGGCAGGAAATAGAAGCAAAACTAAATAATGGTGCAGGATGGGGACAGCCTGCCATTGGCAGCAAATGAAGCAGCAGAGGCAGCTGATCAGATTGTCTCATTTTTCATGACAGAAATTCCATGAGATCCTCATGCTTGTTCGCAGGTTGGCATCAAGGAGATAGTGGAGATGAAGAGCACTCCAAAAGAAACTAATCTGCATTAGAGATATGATAAAGACTTGATGTACTGTTTATTTAACAGAAAGCTGATTTGTGTGAATTTTTCTTCCAAATACACAGCTGGATGTGGTGTTTACAACCCTCATCAGAAACAGACCTCCGAAAACATGGTTCGAAGATGGATGTCAATTGCATCAAAATTCAGCCCCTACAATCACTTTGAGAACTCGTTCATGTTCAATGAATCCTGATGAACCAGAAAGTCCCTATTCATGTATTGTGCACTTGGACAATCTATGAATGCATGCATGAACAGCAACGTTGTGATCATCTCCCAAAGCAAGTCCTCTAGATACACAATTGTATTAGCATTTTAGCTACAATGTGGAGGACCCTTAATTGAGTAGGGTTTAACAACATTGGTATGAACAGTCAAGAACAGTCATTCCTTGTTGTAAAAGCAAAAATCAGTGAACTGTGAGATGGTAGGAACTGCCGATGCTGGAGAATCTGAGATAACAAGGTGTAGAGCTGGATGAACACAGCAGGCCAAGCAGCATCAGAGGAGCAGGAAAGCTGACGTTTCAGGTCTGGACCCTTCAGA